CATAAGTACTGATGAGAGCAATGGGCGGAGCTGAGAAGCTGTAATGACTGAAACACAAACTATGACTAAGAACACAAATAGAAAAGAAAGTGACAGCAATCAATACACACCTATCAATTAAAACTTTAAACTTTAGTGGCCTCGGTGTCCCAATCAAAAATCACAGATTACTAGAAAGTATTACAGATAACTAGAAGTTATCTATAATAAACTCATTTTACCTTCAAGGACAAACACCACCTCAGAGTGAAGGATATATAAAATTATTCTAAGCAAGTGGGACCAGAAACATTACTAACCTAATATCTGACAAAATAGACTTCAAACCAAAATTAATCAGAAGAGATAAAGAAAGACACTTCATTCCAATCAAGGAAACAATTAACCAAGAAGATATTACAATCCTAAACACATATGCACCAAACTCTGGTGCACCAAGCCCATAAAAATCATTTCTACTAGGCTTCGAGACACCGATTAACCCCAACTCAGTAATGCTAAGTGATTTCAATACCCCATTTTCTCCGATAGACAGATCATCTGCACAAAAACCAAACTGAGAAAAATCAGAATCAAGTGACCTCATATATCAAATGGACCTTACAGATATCTACAGAACATTCTACCCAAACACCAAAGCTTATACATTCTACTCAGCAGCCCAGAAAGTTTTTCTAAAATAGATCACATATTGAGACATAACAAATCTCAACAGATACAGAAAAACTGAAATAACTCAGTATACCTTATCTGACCACAATGCAATAAAGGTTGAAATCAACAGCAAAAGAATCTCTAGAAATTACATAAACTTATGGAGATTAAACAACACACTCCTGAATGATAAATGGGTCACAGAAGAAATCAAGAAGGAAATTTTAAAATTCTTGGAAGTAAATGAAAACATAACACACCAAAATTTCTGGGACATATTAAAAACAGCCCTAAGTGTAGAAATGTCTTACAATATGCACAGAATCTGAACTAATGACTTTTACACAACCTTGTACCAAAAAGCTACAGTTTATAATGAGAACAAGCTCACTGAGCTGTCTTCTTGTGACCTGAGCTCCTGACCTTGATCCCTTTCCAGGACTCTACTATGCCGTCCACCCAAATGGTGAATGAATGTAGGCATACTGGAATTAGGACATCAAAGCACTAGAGGCAATGTATTCCTAATCATGCCCTCAGTGGAAGCAGTGAGAATTGAGAAGTATGCTTAATATTGTATATATGAGATATTTTAGGCCTAGAGATCAAAGGACAAGATTCTCTGATAAGGGTGGGTTCTATCTTGTAGTTCCCCAATTCACACTGGAGAAACTTTGAATAAAAGCAGGGAAGAAGCCGAGCCCAGGAGCACAGTTCCATGAGACATCAGAAGGAATAGGTGATTCTCACAGTTCTGACGCACTTTTAAAACGAATGCTCAGTCAGGCTGATTATTCATTCAGCTTTAACAATAATGTTTCTTAGTAACACTGCACTAAGAGGGAAATGTATAGCTCTAAGGACCTACATTTAAAATCCCAAACCAGAGCCAGGTGTAGAGTGCGTGCCTTTAATCCCAGAACTCAGGAGACAGAGGCAGGCAGATCTCACACACGGTGAAGGAAAAACAGCTTTTCAACAATTGGTGCTAGGAAAACTGGATATCCACATATAGAAGAATGAAATTAGACCATACCTATTACAAGCAGTTGTCAAATGGAACCTCATTAAAATGAAAAGCTTCTGTACAGCAATGGAAACAATGGAATCAAAAGGAAGCCACAGAGTTGGAATCTTTGTCAGCTGTACATCCAGTAGAGGACTAATACCCAGAATGTACCCAAAAAACTAAAAAAAGAATCAAGAAAGCAAACAACCCAGTTAAAAAATGGACTACAGCTCTGCATGGAGCTCTTGAAAGAAGAAATAAAAATACCTAAGGAATATCTTGTGAGATGTTCAATATCTTTAGTAATCAGTGAAATAAAACTACTTTGAGATTTCATCTTACCCCAGTCAGAATGACAAGAAAACTAACAACAAATGCTGGCAAGGATTTTAGGAAAGAGGACTATTCATTCACTGCTGCTGGGATTGCAAACCAGTGCAACCACCGTGGAGTTGGTGTGGAGAGGTCTCAAAAAGCTAAAAATAGAAAATCTATATGGCCCAGGTATATGACTCAATGACATATACCCAAAGGACTCTATAGCCTACTACAGAGATAGTTGTTCAGTCATGTTCATTGCCTCTTTATTCACAATAGCCAGGAAATAGAAACAGCCCAGATAAACTTCAATGAATGGATACTGAAAATATGGTGCATGTACATAATGGAATTCTATACAGCAGTAAAGAAAAATTAGACCATAAAATTTGCAGGTATATGGATGGAACTGGAAAATATACTGAGTGAGTTAACCCAAATCCAGAAAGAAAAATGTGATGTTTCCCTCTCACTTGTGGATCCAAACTCTGAATGCTTAGACATGAGTATCTAACCTAGAGTAACTGCAGAAGCCAGAAAAGTAGAAAGGGATCAAGGGGGAGGAAGAAGGACCTCTAGAGAAAGGAATAGTGGGACACAGGTGCAATTACGAGGGAAAGGAGGGAAATGGGCTGGGACTTGACTGGAAAGTGAGGAGGGAAGGCAACAGAGAGGGAGAGGAAGGAAGGGGAAGCAACAAATATTAAGGGTATTTGAAGGAAACATAGGAGAATATTATTTTATAAAAGTACTTCAAATTTGGGGGTGATGGGGCTAGAGAGATGGCTCAGCAGTTAAGAGCACTGACTGCTGTTGCAGAAGACCTAGGTTTGGTTCCCAGCACCCATGTGGTGACAAACAATCATCCCAAACTCCAGTTCCAGGAGATCCAATGCCCTCTGTGGCCTCCTCACTCATTGCATGCATGTGGTGCACTTACATACATGCAAGCAAAACACAAAATAAAATAAATAAATCCCCCCAATTTTTAATTAATTAAAAAAACTGGGGGTGATAATATACTTCCCAAAAGAGCCATAGACTATCTAGCAAAAGTTCCAGCTCCACGCCTGGGAAATCTCCCTTTGAGGTGTTAGTCAGAGGGGTCCAAGGGATTCCCCAAATGATATAACCTATTGCCTTTGCCTTCAATTGCCTACCAGAACTTGAAGATAAGACGTCAGTGCTGCAGATACCACACACTCCAGATGCAGGACTTGGAGGAATTGAGCTGGAACTGACCCGGAAGCCTCCCTCCTGAGGACTGGCTCTCATAGCACTGGAAGATCCTATGCAAGCCTGCCAATGGAGAAAAGCAATCAATGCTCCTACCCATCTGTAACATATGCAGACCACAATGACCAGTCTGGCACTGCATCTCCAGTGGTGCAATAGTGGCACTTTCATCTTGTGCATAACCAACAACTATCAAACTAGACCTAAGGCTCACTCTAGGAGAATACTCATGCCTGGTACTGTAACCTAGCCAACTACTCATGGCTAGAGATGTCATAGACTCTAGAGAAAAACGTACTACTAAATCAGTATAGCTGGAATTGTTTTCTAAACACAGATAAGTCTCACTCCTCATCAAAGAAGCTTTTTTTCACAGCAGATGGAGGCTATTACAAAGATCCGTAATTGGTCAAAATACTGAGAATAAAGTACGGAGAATAAATGACTGTAGGTTGCCCAGTCCCAAGCAGTACATCTGCAATTCAACCCCGACATCTATGGCTCCGGGAACATTGTAGAAGAGGGGATGGGGCAGAAAGAGTATAAAAGCAGAAGAGCAGGACACCTTTGGCTACATAGTGTCTCTAGACATGACAGGGAAGCTGTGCCTAGGAAATCTCAGCAATATGGTTTCCTAAACAAAACCTTCATAATGATCACAGGAGTAGACATGCCAATGTTAATGGAAGATATTTCACAAGACCCTGCCCCTAAATGAAGAAAGCTATAGGCAATCAGTGGCTGTTGAGAGAGGGAGAATCAGTTTTCTCCAAAGACAAGCTCCCTGATATGTTATCCAGTCCCAAGTGGTAAGCCCTAAACACATGCACATAGGAGCATCACCAAATGAATATAGTAGTAATTTGAGAGGGAGTAGGAGAGCACAATAGTTGGAAGGGGGGAGATAGGGGTGGAAATAATATAAATATGGTATTCATGTATGATATTCCCCCAAAAAATTAAAGAAACAGAATACTGATTCATGCAACAACTTGGATAAATCTGAGATGCTTTTTACTACACAAAGAAGCCAAAGTCAAAAGATTTCATAGTGTTTGATTTCATTCACATATCTGTAAGCTTTCTGGCCCTGTAACAAAATCTTAGGTAATCAACTTTAAAAGAGAACAAGTTTGTTGTGGCTCATGGTATCTGAGGTTTCAATTAGCTCTGTTGCTTTGGGGCCTGTGGAGAGACAGAACCTCATGGTATGTGGGAAAGCATACAATACTTCACAGGAGGGAACAGTAGGAAGAGACTGGGATCCCAATGCCCCTTTCAAAAGAGACTTCCCAGCCTTTAATTGCAGCACTCAGGAGTCAGAGGCAGGTATGTGTCTATGAGATCAAGACCACCCTAGCTGGGGCTCTAGGGAGACCTTGTCTAAAAAAAAAAAAAAAAAAAAAAAAAAAAAAAAAAAACTCCATTTACTTAAATTAAGATTAAATATTTATTAGGATACAGAA